TAGGTTTATCTCAGGGTCACTAGGTAAAATATCTGTGGGTAACTGTTAATTGCATTAATAATCTACCTAAATTGGTTTTCTATATTCTTTATTGTTGCCCATTGACTGTTTAGCTCACTCTCTATTTGAATAACAACCTCTTCTAATAAATTCTTCTCCTCATTCTGTGGTTTGAAGTTAAAATTTTTAGAAAAAGAAAGTTCATCGCTAAAATCACATTGACTGTTCCAATTACATGTCTGATTAGATTGATTATCTTCCCAAAATTGGTTTTCTCCTCCAAAATTAGTATTCCAGTTAAAGCTTGAATAATTTTCCCAACCTGGTTTGTAATAATCAAAATAAGGATTATATATCTTATGGCTAGTTTCAAAATAGTTAGGCTCAATAAATTGTCCAAATGAATTTTCCTAAATATTTGGGGGCATTTGAGGATAACTTTCTATATGTTGATCTAACTTCCTTGCAATATCTGCAACCTGAGAACTTAAAATAATAAGCATATTTTCTTAAAAATTTACTCCCCTCTTAAGGCTTATTCCATCGAAGCTACTAACATTATACTCCAAATCTGAATATTCATTATATTGTCGATCCGTCATTTCTACATTGAATGCATGGAGTCATTTCTGATTCATCATCCTCCTAAACGCTCTCTTTAACTCTGAATCGTAAAATTCAAGGCCTGCAGCCCCTGAACTACGCATACAAATTTATAGACTTAACTAATAGGACAGCTATAAAAAATATTTTTAGTATTTTGGATTTTTCACATAATAATTAAACACAATATATGATATTATATTTTCCAAATCTAAGACTTACATGTTTAACTAAAATTCTCCTAAAGTTCTTTCTGAAGCTTCCCCGACAATAACACCAAAAACTTGGTGTGCCTCTAGTGTGTGTTGTTTTTCTATGTGTTTCGTGTCAATTTAATTCCGCTGAGATGACATCAAAAACTTGACCTGACCCACAATTACAAAAATAATTCAACTTTCAAAAGACGGCAAAAAAATTTGACCCAATTTATATGTAGCAGCTAATATATAAAATTGAAATATTATAAAATGTAGAAATTAGTTTACACATTATGGGTTCTACAGAAGTGCACATATCGCTTCAAGTATTATAGGATTTTTTTTAAGAACCTCAGTATCGATCCCACGAAGAAGCGAGGTAAGAAATCCCTTAGGCTGATTCTAGTCTACTACGATTCTAGTCTACTATCTAGTCTACTACTATAAGCAATTAGTTTGGAAGGTTGATTAAAGTGGTTTTAAACTATGCTAACAAAACTAAGTTTACTAAATTAATTTCTAAACTTTAAAGTTAAATTTACTATGACTAAACAAAGTTTTGTGACTAAGAGTTCAAATTTAAGAAAGTATCCTTCCCACTACAATAAATTTTTGGTTAATGATTGAGATAAATGATTTGAATTTGTATTGTGCCAAATATGAGCATTTTTAATTCTCTACCCTCGGTGAAGTGTTATAGAGAATCATTGGCTAATCTTAGGTTTAGTCCCTAAATCCGTAGTTAGGCTGGGAGGATACTGGCTCTCACTCCAGATTGGAACCCTAAGGGCTCCCATCTACACTTCAGCACCCAAGCACTAAGACCAAATTGGGGATTTTAGTCAGTTACTCTAAAATCTCCAATTCTACGCCCAACAACGAATATTTAACGTATATTTCCCTATTTATTTGCATCCAATTCCATGAATGACATACTCCTCCGTGGAATCAAATGTGATTCTCACTTTGTTGTAGAACTCATAGTCCATTTTTCGGATCGTATGCTTCACAATAAATTTTAACATTTAAATTAGCCATATCAAAAAGTAAATGAAGAACTAAGTGAAAAATCATCACAATTATTTAACATTTAAATGACACATCCAAATTATCTCTCAATTTCACTATATATGATTGCAGGGAGAAAGACAAAGAAGACTATTCAGAATTCATGAGGAAGATACGACAAAACACGGATTATATATATATATATATATAAGCAAATCTACAAAACAAAGAAATGAAAGAACACGACTTATCTTAAACTCCTCCTCAAGCAAATCCCTCGAAGTTCCCTTGAAACACTTTCTCTCTTTACAATCAACACTGAATTCTCTCTTAGAAATGTAATACAGAAGAAATCTCTCACCTTTCCTCTCCTCTTACAATTCTTCAAGAAAATCCTCTCCACAAACAAGACTTTACTCTACACTTACACACACTCACACACACACATGCATACACACACCCCATGAGAGGCGCAACCCTTCTCTTTTAAAGAGGCATAAAATCCCTCTTTTTTTCCCAAGAGACACACCCCTTCACTTCAAGAGACACATCTTTTCACGCCAAGTGTCTAGATTCATTGAATCACTCTAAGAGACACATCTCTTCATTTAAAAACCACTTATTAACTCCAAGAGACACATCCCTTCATTTAAGAGCCTTTCCAAGTGTCTAGATGCATTGGATCATTTCATGGGGTGTTTGAATCACTTGAGAGCCTTCTAGAACATAAAAAAAAGAGCAAAAAATCTGTCCATAATCGTCCCGACACCGTCGGCGCCAGTCTGGGTGCCTTTGGCGCCATTTTTTGTCGCTTCTCTGGACTTGGGCATCGTCAGCTCCGGTATGGGTGTCGTCGGCACCGGTCTGCAGTAGCTCCACTATTTTGCTCTGTTTGGCTTCTTTTCAGCTCTGTTATGCCCCATTTCAATTGTGTTTTGTTCCTAACAGACTGACCTACAAAATAAGCATAATAAACCTTTCTTTAAAGTGTAATTTCATTCAAAAACATGTAAGAAGTGAGAAGTAGATTAAGCATAAAAAGACATCTCGAAAAGTATCAGGACAGAATATTCTTTCTTGCTCGTTTTAGCTCCAAATTGCACCGTTTTTACTTCTTTTTCACCAAAAGTTCCTTTTTTGTACCTGAAGCCAAAAACATGCTAAATATCTTCCGTTGAAGTGCAATATCACAAAAATGGAGTATAAAATATAGATCTAAAAATGCATATATTTTTGGTGCATCATACAATAATGTCCCTAACCATGCTATTTGAATGAGGTTTTTTCCCTTTTCCTTGTGGAATAAATCTATGGTATGGCTTAACGCCCTTGCCTCATGATTAATCACAACATGGAATGACTTTGCACAAAAATTCCTTGCCAAATATTTCCTCCATCCAAAACTGCAAAACTTAGGAATGACATTACTTCGATGAAGAATTCATTTATGAGGCTTGGAAGAGGTTCAAGGAATTACTTAGGATATTTGGATGATAATTTAAAAAATTCATATAAAATAGCGTTACATTTATGCACAACCAAACATATAGGGTTTTTATGTGCATGTTTATATTTTATTAATATTTTCACATTAAAAACATATTTGGATTTTTATAATTTTATGAATGTAATTTTAGTAGTAGTCTATCAAGTGGATGAGTTTTAAAAATGGGCGATCAAATCATTAAAAGGTGTGAATTTCTTAGATATCTTGGGTCTATTGTTTAGAGTGATGAAAATATAGATGATGATATTATTAGTAGAATTTAAGTTGGATGGCTGAAGTGTAGGAATGCATCGAGCCTTTTATATCACTTAAACTTAAAGGAAAAGTTTATAAGATGGTTGTGAAACCATCAATGCTTTATGGTTCATAATGTTGGCCTTTAAAAGCGAACTATAAAACTAAGTTAAGCGTTGATGAGATGAGAATTCTTAGGTGGATGAGCGGCTTGACACTTAGAGATAAACTGCAAAGCAAATGTATCCGAGAAAGGGTTTGTGTAACTCTGCTGAAAGACAAAATTAGGTAGTCATCTTAGATGGTTTGGTTATATTAAACGTCGATCATCTGATGATTCAATTAGAAGAGTAAATGTTTTAGATACGAATTATATTTAGAAGGATATAGGCAGACCTAAAAAAATTGGGCATGTTATATTAACAATCATCTTAATTTATTTGAATCAAATGAAAATATGACACTACATAAGACACAATGGAGAAAAATGACTATGTTGTCGACCACACTTTGAGGGATGGCTTGTTATTGTTGTTGTTGTATAAGATAAAGCTAAATAAAGAATTAAGAAACTTATAACTAGGCATACAAAAAATTCTAGGCTATTTAGTTTAAATGACTTGTTTGGGATCAATTTCATTTTGGTTTTTGTTTTTTTAACATATTTGTTTAAAGTGTATTTTATATTTTTTTATTTTTTTATCATCAAAATCAAATCAATATTTTTTAGAGCACTTAACATAGCTTTTAAGTGCTTTTAGTGTTTTTAAAAAGACATATTAATTAAATATGCCAAAGATGTTCTTTTCAAATCGAATCATAAACAGTTGAAATACAAATAAAAAATATAAACAAAAAATAAAAGTGATCTTAAATGGCCCGTAAGTTATCTGAAATTATAAAAACAAATGATTAAAGTAAAATACAATAGTACTCCTTTTCAACTTCTATTATTATCATTAATATAAATTTGAGCTAAAATATCATGCTAACTAAAAGTATGGTTACCATATTTGTAAATTTAGCTAAAATTAACAATGAATCATTATGTCTTGCTTGGGATAATTTTTTTTTAAATTTTTTTTGTGTTTCTAAAAGCATATTTGTTTAATGTGTTTTTATCCTTTTTTTTTTCTTTTTTAAAAACAAATAAAAATATTTTGAAAAACACTCGAAATAATTTTATGGTGTTTTCATGATTTTCAGAAGTAACCATATCTTAATCAAACATATCAAACGTTCTTTATTTCAAATCAAAATATACACAAAACAAAATAAAAAATAAAAAAAAAACAAAGTAATCCCCCAATGCCCCCCTAAAAAAAGACCATAACTCAAAGCTCTTATTATTTAATCCACTATTATTCAATTTGGCATCCAACTTGCACAAAAACACTAATGAACACAAACCCCTCAATTTTATCAAAAAACTTCTAACATACATTTCAATCTCACTGAAAAGATGAGAGTTTATTATTGCTAAGTCGGAGATGGAATACAAAGCCTTGCTAAAAGGACAAGTTGATATATACCCACACATACATTTCAATCTCACTTACAAGCACAAAACATCACCATCATCATCATCATCCATGCATGCTTTTCCAAATACAACAATACATCACATCATTGGTTTAGCAACCATACAAAGAGGCACTTTCTTATGCATTGTAAGGCCACTTGCCTCCCCCATATCAATATCTTCGGGTCTCATTCCGTCAGGCAAACTCCATTCAAAACAATGCAAGAGATTAGCCAAAACCAGCTCCACAAGAACTGCAGCAAAATCAATCCCCGGACAACTCCTACGACCAACACCAAAAGGCACGTAATTGAAGTCTTGCTCTCTCAAATCTGTGCCACGTAAAGCGAATCTCTCAGGCCAAAACTCATTAGGGTTCTTCCAAGCTTTTGGATCAATGGAAATGGCCGTGGCGTTGATGAAAACTCGGGTCTTGGCCGGAATGTCGTAGCCTTCAATAACGCATGAATCTAGGGTTTCACGAGGAACTAGAAGCGGAGCCGGAGGGTGCATTCTTAGTGATTCTTTGATGACAAGCTTGAGGTATTCTAACCGTTGGAGCTCGCTTTCTTCAACCTTGTTGTTGTTGATGATGGCGGTTTGTAGCTCTTGCTGCAACTTAGTCATTACTCTTGGATTCTTCATCAGTTCTGTCATCGTCCAAATTATTGTTGCTGAGGATGTATCAGTTCCGGCAAAGAACAGGTCTGGAAGAAAAAAGGAATATTATGACATTTATTTTCTTTCACTTTTGAAAAACCAGTATAAGCATATATAACCATCATTTTGAAGGGTAACTTGCACTTGGATCCTTGAGTTATAAATTACATTTAATTTTGATTTATATTTTTTAAAAAATATTACGTTTAGATCCCTTAAGCTCTTATCTATTTTACATGTGTGAACAATCTTAAGGATCTTTACATTTTGTTGAATGTTGAAAGATTGGTATCTCAGTATTATACAAAAATTTAACACATACACAAATAATACGAAAGAAGGAGAAGAACACGATTTTTTACATGAAAAATTCCTAAAAAGGGATAAAATCACGAGGTATAGCTCTGTCAAAATAATATACTATGTGATTGTTAGTGCAAAACACACTCTTCTCCTAAATTAGAGAAGATTGAATTACAAAGTTAATAATCATAGAAGTACAATAATAGTTCAACGACAATGGCGGTAATCGGGTAGCAACAAATGTAGGTTCCGACGATAATAGCAATAGTGGGCTAGAAAGGTCGTCGTTGATTGCTACGAAGACAATGGTCTTCCATAAATCTGGTCTGCCATAAATCTCGTATATGGTAGTTGTAATAGTATCAACTTGTCCTAGAAGAGAGATTAAAAGTCGTACTAGAAGTTGATCACATAAGTCGTATTTTATAACTTCAAGAGCGTCAGTTAGTCGTAAAGGCTATAGTGGGAGGTAGTAATGACAACATTAGGCTATATATGTCATAGTGGACAGCTATAGTAGTAATTGACCACATAGATCGTAATGGATAGCAGTAAGAGCATCAGTTGACCATAAAGGTCGTGGAAGTAGGCAATATTTAACATCTATATTTACCCTTATAACAACCATGTGTCATAAATCTATGAAAATTTGCATTTCACTTTTTATTTTATGCTTTGAGGGCTCATTTGATTGCTTAAAGCAGAAAATGATAAGTTTATTAATATTATTCATGCAGTACAAAACAGTTATTAATCAATAAGATTCTGAAAACCACAAATACTTTCAAAACAATTTAAAAATAATGATTTTATAATGTAAAGCAAATCCTATAAAGAAGAGACGTATAAATGGACGTTTAAAAGCGGACTCGTTGTAAGAAAGAAATAACTAATTTAAATATTTTAATATCCATACTCTTTAAAAATAATATCTTTTAAATATATTTATAACATTTTACATGAATCCATACATTTTTAATTACAATTTACTATAAATCAGTAGGAAGAACTAACCCAATCCCATCCATTTATTTTCACTCATCTTTTTGTGTGATTAAAACTATAAATTCATACGATTTTTAGAAAAAAATTATCATTTCTTCAAGTTAGCAAATGGAATACTTCAATTTAACAATTACAATTGTGTTTAGGGCAATTTGTGTGTTTCAAGATAAACAGTTTATTCTGAAATGCGGCCCGCGGGTTGACCGCAGGGTTCGACATATGGCCTACGTTTAGTGTAAAAATGAAACCGCGTTTTCGGATAAGCAGACAAAATGCGCGATCCAAACGATACTGCGGCGTTTTCAAAAACGCCCCCACGCTTATAAGCTGATCTTCCAAACGGGCTCTACACATCAACGGCAGTAAAGTACACCGATATATGATGACAAGGGATTCAATAATATAGCAGTTGACGTGTGATGCTATGTGAATGTGACTCGGTCGATCTAGCTCCACGAAGGTGGCATTTATTTACATACATATCACAAATTTTTATATATTTACATTTCTTAACTTTAATTTCTACATTTATAGCAGCCATATGTTTCATATTATATTGAAATTTTCCACAATTTTAATTTTTAAAAAAGTTCAGGCATAGATAGGGTGGCATATATGTATAAATTGAAATTTAGATGTTAGATATTCAAATAAATAGGAATTGACTTGTGTGGTATGCATTTCAATCTTCCTAACAAAAATATGAAAATTTTTTTCTAACTTGGCATATTGTTTTTAAAAATGGCATTAGCAATTAGTTCATGAATGAAAGTAGATCCACCAAAAATAACTAATTATAAATATAAATAATTTTTTTTTACTAAAATATATATAAATTAAAAAAATGTGCAATAATATAAATTCTCTATAATTAAAATCATTATTTCAAAATCATTTTTTTGTTCTTGTTTTCATATTTCATCTCTATCTTAGAATGCATTCTTGTGCGAAAATATCTATTATAAACGATAGATAAGATAATGTTGGTTAGTTCTTTTCATATCATATTTATTAAATTATTATTTATTTAGATATGTGAAATTATTTATTAAAATATTTACGTGAAAAATTTAGATATTCGTTTAAATTTTTGTCTTATTTAAATACTCGTTTAGTTGTCATAAATAAATCAAATACAAATTATGTTCAAGTATTGAAAAATTTGAACAAGTAAGAGTTTGAAAAATATGTGAAAGATCAACATAAGCTCAGGTCGATAATAATTATACTAAGTCAGGTCCAATCTATGATATACTCGACTGGATCACAACCCTAATGGCATATGAAGGAGATCCACATGACTTCATGGCATTGTCATAATTGGGAAATTAATGAAATAGTAATAATTTGATGTTATTTAATTATGTAAGTGTTGTACGAGTAATTGTAAAATCTTAAATCTTAAATATTATAATTTGGGGAAAATTGCATACATCCCACACGATTTCTATGTATTTAATTATCAAACTGCCTAAAATTTTATAAGAAGATCTACGTTCATATCACTTAATTCTTATGTGTTTATAAATTTAATATTTAAATTTCAATTTTTACGTATATGCTACTTTACCTATACAGAAAAAAGGCTGATAAGTCATTAACAAATTTTCATCGTCCAACACGAATCTCAAGACGATATTTTAAATAAGAAACATTCAAATCTTGATAAACAGTCATCCAGATTTTGGATTTCAACAAACTTATAATCAAACTGACCAGCTCGATGAGACGAACCTAATGATATGAAAACTAGCCCAATCGGAGTCAGATCAAACCCAGATCAAGTCATTAAACCACACATAGAATATTTCCGGACATATTTGAAAGATTAAATGATTGTAGAATATGACAAGTTTACACTCTAATCAAGCGTATCGAAAAGATGAATCCAACGAGCCCAAGATCACTCAATTCTGACATCATTAAGACACTCAAATATCTATTAAACGCTATCAAATCGAGAGAAGCTCTCCTGACCGTTCGATCAAAATGGTTTATATTCATGTATTAGTTGCACCAAGAACACTATAAATAGAGTTGTATCCCTCTCATGAGAGCAAACTGAAGCCTAGAGAAAGCCTGTAGCTTGAGGAGAACCTTCCACTCAGCATCACCGCAGACCGTCGTCGACCACCGTCGAGCGCCGTCGATCACCACCGACCGCCGTCGACCACCTCTAACCTCCCTTGAAAACCACCGACCGCCTTCGACTACGTCAACCGTCGTTAACTCCGCCAACCTTTGCCGACGACAACGGTCGATCGTCGACGACTATTGCCCACCTCTATTGATCACCGTCTACAGTCGTCGAACACCGCCGACCTCCGTTAACCTCCGCCAACCGTTGTTGACCACCGCTAACCACCATTGATAACCACCAACCAAACACTGTCAGTTGAAGCTGTAGGCTGGACTGTAAAATATAGTTATCCTCTCCCGTTTGTGGGACAATGAATTTTTGCAATCATCAATTAATAGTGAATTTTCGCAACTGGGACAACCCTGTGGTATTTCCCTTTACGGGTTTTTCACGTAAAGATTTACGGAGTTGTCACTGTTTGATTTTCTTTCATTTGTGTGTGCTGAATTCTCGTACAATGCTATAATAATAATCTATTACGCTACCGCCGCGAATTTTACAACACGCATCAAAGGTGTATTTCACTTTTTCTATTAAAATAAAATAGTGGTATTTTTTATGCGATATGAAAAATTTAGACGGTATAAATATAAAAAACATAATATACAAGAACATGGGAATTGAATGCGCTTTACATAAATGACACAACTTTATATTTAAAATTAAAATATATTGGAGTTATAAATTTAAGCATGAAAATATTTATTTCACTAATAAAAAACTGATTAATAATTTTCTTAAAGTAATATTAATGATTTGAGAGTTATGAATATAAACATAAACGTATGTAAATTTATCTTCTAGTAATTATTATGCACATAAATTAATTAAATAAATAAAATAGAAGAATATGAGAGACAGATAACATACGCGTGAATGGTATGTATTTAACATTTATTTAAAGTGTACATTTTAAATAAATTTACGTCCGGAGGCTAGTGGGCATCTGCCACATGAGTCTCACAAATCACAATGACGACAGATTTTATAGAGTGATGCAGCCCATTTATCATATACCATATGACAGGCGTCCAACTAAATTTCGGACGTAACCTGATAGAATAATATTTAATTCTTAGGTTAATATTTCGCATGCAAAAATTATTTGAAGAAAAAGAGTTGTACCTGCCATGATCCCCTTGACATGATTCATGGTGCTGAGAAAACCACCATCCGTTGCTTCCCGGCGCAACCGGAGTAAAACATCCACCAAATCCTCTCTATCAGAGACATCATCCACCGCCTTCTCCGACCCACTCTTCAGATGCTTCTCAATCACCCTCTCCCAAAACATATTCAGCTGCCCGAAGTTTTTCTCCAACTTCGCCCGCTGGCCAGTAATCCCATCAATCCAATCCCCTGCTGGAAAGAAATCCGCGGCAAAGAATCCAACCAAGAGATTCTGCGTCTCCGCCATGACTCCGTGAGACAAGCTCCTCTGTCCTCGGTACACTCCAGCGCCTCCTCCGAGCTTATCTCCGAACACCACTCGGCACAGGACGTTGTAAGAAAGGGCAGAAATCATCTCGCTCAGGTTGATTAAGGATGATTTAGATGATAGCTCTGTAATGGCAGCGGAGAGATTAGCTACTTCCTGCTCTCTGACGATTTGAAAAGATCGCACTCGCCTAGGGCTCAGAAGCTCGAGCATGGAGAGCTTGCGCGCTTGTCTCCAGTTCTCGCCGTACTGGGCGAAAGAGATGTTGGAGTTGTTGAAGGAGTACAGAGTTCCGGCCTTCGATGCCGGCCTGCCGGAGAAGATGATGTCATGGGATTTAAAGATGGATTTGAGTGCGTCGGCGGAGGAGACGACTAGGGTTGGGATGGAGCCGAGATAGAGAAACATGAGGGGGCCGTGCTTTTGGGAGAGGCGGAGGAAGGAGCGGTGAGGCATCGAACCCACCTGGTGGAGGTTGCCGATGATGGGGAGCCTCCATGGACCTGGAGGCAGCTTCTTCCCGGCTCTGTTTCCTTCTGCAAGTTTTTTCAGTAATGGAAGGGATACGGCGAGGAGGATGAGGAGGAGGACCACTAGTGGTCCCATTGCATTCGAGGACGATGGACGAAAACCTTGAGGGTCGTTGAAGAATATAAATGGATGGTGACCAATTACGTGTTCAAATTTTTATGAAAATAATCATATTATTTAATAAATCATAATTAAAATTAAGTCGTTCGAATTTTGATGGGTTCAAACGAAAAATTGTTCCGTACGAACATCGCATTCAGAGATGTATATGCTACTCGATCTCAGCCGTCGATCAAAATTTTTTTTTTTTTAAAAAGGTGCCCACCGAAATACAATTTTACTCTGATCTACGATTGAGATCGGAGAACACATACATCTCTACATGCGTTGTCTGTATGAAATACTTTTCAAGTTCAAACATACATAACTTGAGCGCCAACCTTACTCGTTACGAATGTTGTTAATGATTATGAAAATTTTGATATTTTTATTATTATTAAAATATGTTACAGTTTTTTCTGAAAATATGTTTTGATTTATAAAGATTGTAATGTTATTTATAGTTGATAATGTTGTGATGCTAGTCAATTTTGTATGAGGAGCTGTTGGACAAAAAATTTAATAAAATTGATACGTTCTTAAGAAAATTATTTTAATTATATACAAATCTCATAACATTTCAAATAAGCTTATAATTGAGATTTAAATTGAAGATCGTCTCCAGTAAGCATATAATCAAATTGATCAACTCGATAATGTGAGTCAAACAAAGCCAAAATTGATTTGATTGGAGTCCAATCAAACTAATTTAGCACAATTGGAGGCTTATGATGGGCAATTGAATAGTTAAATGAATTTTAAATTTAACAAGTTTATAGTTAAATCAAGCGTCTGATTGACTTGAATCGAATGAGCTCATGACCACTCGATTCTGACATCATTAAGACACTCAAATACACATAATGAGATAAAAGGGATCGCTCACGGTTATTTGATGGAGTGGTCCAATTTCATATGGTATTTAAAGAGGATGTCGCTCCCAAAATTTATATATAGAGCCCCACTCCCTCCAAGAAATGGGACTTTGGATGTATACATGGAGGAGAAAGCTGGAGAAACTCCAAGCTTATGAGGATTCCCGAGCTCCATTGTCGGGCCATTGCTGACTAGTCATCGTCGCTGCCGTCGAAGCACCATTACTGCTTTTTGGCTACTGTTGTTGAGCTATTGTCAGATCACAGTTGTTGGCCACCAGCATCGAGCCACAAACATTACAGTACACATGTTGCCCAGTCATTGCTCTCTGTTGTTTACCTCATTTTTTGCATGGAGTTTATCATGTTCATTCGCTCTATAAATTAGGGCCCAACCTTAAGGTTTCCTTTGTGGCTTTTCCTAGGGGACTGGTGATTAAAATAATACCAAGATAGAACTTCAAATATCTTTTCACTCCTTATAGTTTCTTGAGCTTAACTTTGAGTTCTTAACTTTCAATTGAGTTGATCGAGGTTAAGACATCGAAGCTTAACTTTGAGTTCTTAACTTTCAACCTTAAGGTTTCCCCTTCTCTTTTGTACCAAGAAAGAGTTTATCTTTTAATGAAAGAGAAAATAAAATTAAAAATTACTAATTGAAGTTCAAAATAAAAATAAAATTGAAAAACCCAAAGAAAAAGTCAATGAAATTATAAAATGAAAATCATAAATCAACATTACAAAGTAAAATCAAAATAAAACAAAGACAAATTTAATGAATTTATAAAATGAAAAAAAAATTATAATCACAAAATAAAATCTAAAGCAAAGAGAATAAATTCAATGCAATTAACAAATTAAAATCACAAAGTAAAATCAAAATAAAAACAAATCATATACAAATAAAATTATAAAAGCAACTCAAAAATGAAAATCAAATAAAATGAAATGTCATTAAAACTTTGAAATAAATCAAAATTAAAACAAATTAACCAAAATTAAATTCACCAAAATCATGAAACTCAAAGTGAAAACAAAGTAAAATCACAAAGTTAAAATTCCAAAATATAATAATAAATATAAAATCACAATGCAAAACTAAATTAAAAAAATCAAATTAATATGAAACAAAAATAAGTTCACGTACATCATAAACCCAAAATCAAAATTCAAATCAATCCAATGTAAGAAAAAAATCATTAACATCCAAAATTACAAATAAAAAAAAAATAGTAACATCAAAATTAGAAGATCAAAATCAATTCTAAAAATAACAAAATTATAAATCCTTAAGTAAGATATTTTAATAGAAGGAAAATAAATTAAAAATCCAATGATAAAATGAACACTTCACTCATTCATCCAATTTTTAAATCACCATACCGAAATTCCAAATCCACACCCACTTGAAATCAAGTTCAAATTCAAGCTCAAATCTAAACCCATATTCAAACCACATCAAAGCCAACTAAAACTTTATGACAAGCCAAATATTAATCTCATTTATGCTCATTTCAAGCTTCCAGACGAAGCCCAACTTCAAGCCACCATGAGCTTACTTTGACTCATCACCAAGCCTACATTTGGCTCCTTCTATGCTAACGAAACTCAAGCCAATTTTGAGCCAACGACAAAACAAATCTCAATCGATTACAAGCTAACTGATACATAGAAAATATATAGTATTTTTAGACACATTTTTATACATATTTTTTAGATATTGCACTTTAATGAAAGATATTTGTATTTTTTTCTTTCAGGTACAAGTAAAAAGGTGAAAAAATGCTAAAAGCAGTGAAAATGATCAAATTTGGAGCAAAAATATGAAAATTGTGCTAAAGTATTTTGGCGCCTAAGTGCTGGTGAAATAGAGAAGGTCATGCATAAGTGTTAGAGACCCCGCGCTTAAGCACCAGAGGTAGATATGTGACGATTTACTTCATTTTTTCGAATTTTAAAGGGACATTTGAGGCACCTATTGGCTAAAGAGGATGGTTATGACCACTAGAAACAAAAATATAGTTAGAATACTTGTGAAAGGAGGCATCCTTTGGAAAACTCATCGAATTTAGACACATTTTGAAGAGTTACTAAGGCACCTCTTGGAAATTTATAAAAGAAGGAAGTTGAGACTTTTTGAAGTGTGCTTGAAGGTCCTGAAAAGTGCTAAAAAAAAGGGGGAGTTTTGATAGAAAAATTTGGAGAGGTTTTCAGGCACCACAAATTTACTTTATCCTTTTTGTTTTTAGTTTTATTTTGAGAGTCAAGAGTGTTGTAAAAGAGAAGAGATTCAAAGGAACTTCAAGGGTTTGGTGAAGGATTTGAGACTATTTTTGGTTTTAATCGAGACTTTTTGTTGGTTTGACAATGATTTATACTTTTAAACTAAAGCGTGGTTTTATTTTCTCCATGGATTCTATGTAGTTTTCTTTATCTTTCTCCTTAAAATGATAAGTAATTAAAGTGTTGAATGGAAGTTGTGGAGAGTATTAATCTTTAATTTTGGAAGAAGTTGTGATGATTTAATTCTATGCACTTCATTTACGTCTTGATTTGGCCTATCTAGATGTTAAAATTTGTTGTTAGAACATGTAAGAACTGGGCGGGTATTGTCTCAGTCAACAATTGGAAAGAATCATATGAGATTGTATGAATGAGAATATAATTCATATGATTTAGTGCAAATAAATAAGAAAATAAACTTTGAAGAGTGTAGAGCTAAAGGACTTTAAAGTAACAGGTTAAAGCCCCCAACTTGGTTTATTGTTTTAGGTTTTGATACGAGATGTTAGCCCCTAGGTGGAGGGAATTGAGGGAACTCTAGAGTGAGAGCTGGTATCTTCCCTACCTAGCAGGTCTTCAAAACTATTCAAACTTTAAATTAACCAATGTTCTTTATAGCATGTATAGTAAGAGTAAATAATATTATTGCTCATATTTGACACAACACAATTTGCATACTTCCCCAACATAAATCCTATACTTATTACTGATTCATGATAAGGAGAAAGATATTTTCATATTAAGTACTTTTCTTTTACATAAACTCAAGTTATCTTTAGAAGCTATTACTATTTTGTTAAAATATCAAAAATACAAAAAAGTTTGTTGTTTAATAGTGCATATTGCTAATTTTTCCTGTGAGTTCGATATTCATGTCTTAATCAAAAAGTCCTATATTACTTGATAACAATACATATACTTGCGCAGTATCCCAATATATATATATATAAATTTAAACATTAAATTCTTATTTTCTCCAAGATCAAGTTTTTGGTTCTGTTGCAAAGTAAGGAAACATAAGTGAAAAATATCATCAAAAATTGTTATACTGTTGCATATAAGTAGTAACGGGATCACTAACCCATATAAAAACCAACCTTCCATGCGACATAATCTAATTGACCAAAGCCTACACCCATTTACACCCAAAATCACACCCATATTAATCATTCAATCTAAGTACACGTCCAAGTCAAACCAAGCCATCTCATTCAAGCCAAATACAAGAGAAAATCAAAGCCAAACCAAGCCAACCCAATCTAAGCCAAATCCAAATGACTAAACCATAGTCAGCCATCCACTCAAAGCCTCAAGCTCAGCCTAAGCCAACCTAAGCTTCTATGCTCTCCCAAGGTTTATAAAATGACCCCCAACCCGATAATTCCTCATACAAGAAATGCAATAAAATTTCCTTAAAAAATCTATGATAAATTGTTCCCAAACCACTTAACCAGTCCCTCTGACTACTTCTTTGCCATTTTCATCATAAGCCAACTCTAATATGTCATTAATTAGCCCATCCCAAACTAAGAACAAGGCTGATCTCCATATCTCCCTATCAGTTCCTCAAACTAACACCACAAAAAGCATCCCAAGGCCTCCAAACCACCTTTGCAATCCAATTTTCTTCTTTATGAACATTTTACACCACTTCTTGACATACCCAAGGGAGCTTTCAGTTGAACACATTAAAGAGTTTAAGAAATTAAATTTGAAGCTAGGGGGAGCTTCATAAGCTCAAGATGACTGTTCACAAGCATCCAACTGAGGATTAACCTCTTAGACAAAGGTAATTTCCATAAGCTTAGCTATATGGCTCATGTAGTGGTTCTTTGTGAAGTGCA